TTCAAATATCGTGCCTTTTAAAGTAGGCTGGACTGTGCATTTCTATTTTACTTGATGCAGCGTCAGTACACTGATAAAAGCATTACTTGTAGCCTTGATAAATCAATGCACTTCTAGGTATCAAAAAAGTACTGCTGTTTTTTTGAAGGGGTTGGTTTTACTTTGGGATGAATCGAAATGTTTTAGATGAATATTTTTGAAAACAAGCAAAATCTCTGCTCCGTATAATTTTCAACATTTTGAACGACACCCACATGATGTAGGTAAATGTAAACTCTTTGAAGGACAATGGTGAATTTGTTTAATTCCATCGGCGATTGCATTCTCAAACCCCAAAGGCCTACTGCGGTAATACAAATTAATTTAGACCTTTCCTTCCCACATCAGTTAGTGTTTGAGTCATGAGTGCTAATGCCGTCAACGTTCACTGAAATTAAGGGAGAAAGTGGGGAAGGAGGAGGAGGAGGAAAGAAAGTAGTGACATTAACAGCTGCTGCTTCTCCGTCTTTTTTCGACTTGCCTGGTGCACTTCTTCGCTAGCATCTCGCTTTGATTCGTGGTGAATATTTGTATGCTGATAGGTGGCATTATGCAAGAGCAAAGTTCATTTCATTCATTTCCACATTATTAAAACTGAGTTTTACTGATGCTGATTCCTCTGGTCAGAGCAACTAGAACCTCAAGACACTTGTTTGCAACCTAAAGCAATTCGTTAAAATGGTTGAGTTCGTTCTTCATTCCTATCATCCCAAAATCTTCTGCTAAGGGTGAGAAATTCGCTGCCCCACTCGTGCAACATATGACCCCGGTTTATTCTAATGGTTGCGCTTGAAATTAGGGAGGGAAGAGGCAAGACTTTTGCTTGTTGAATCATGACTTTTGAACCGAAGAGGGTTTATTTCCTGGTGACTAGATTTGCGGCACTATTATGGTGTTAGTATTGTGTCATCTATTTCACCATAAAACGCATTTAAAAGTTTTCCCTCTTTGTTATTTTTTTCAAAATTTACTGCAGGGTCATATTTCAACAAATAGGGTAAAATTGGCATTCGTAACAGTCCTTGATTCGCTGTACTTTGGGTGTCGTTGCATGCATGACCATTGGCCGTGGTAGTGCTAGTTAACTTTCGGATGAACTACTTGGGAAGTAGAAATTGAAATTTCTAATTCTAATTATTCTCAAAATCGACTATCCAGTAAGCCTACTTCATTCTCTGAAGAGAATGTCTGCGTGGTGGATCAATTTCAGCAGCCTGATCGAACCCTGTGCAACAGAGCGGACAATATAGGTTGATTCCAGTAAAAAGACTTCCTCTGCAGACCGCATGTATATCAATATCATGGTGGAAGTTTGCTTTAATCTCCAATATTTAAAGCCCTATTTCCGTAATTTTATATTTCAGAAAGGTAATATACTTAGCTGATGATCATTTTTATATTCCGGTACCTTTTGGTTTTCACTTTTTTGGTAATAAATGGGGATTGGACATTTTCTATTAGTAACCAGCGTGTGTTTCTGAGACTCCAATCCCGTTGAAATACTCTGAATCTGGCGTCACGTTTTGCTTCCGGGGATTCCGTCTTTTAATGTCTACCCTGACCTCGAAGTTGCGTTTTAATAATAACTGCAGCTGGGATTGCTGTGCCCGTATGCGACAGTCACCTGGGTTCCACCGTGCTCCCAACTATATAAGCGATTGATTAAAGCTTCAAGGCAAATGCCTTTACTACTGAAGTAATGCGTAAGGAGTAAGCAAAGGGAGGTATGTTCAGTGCGGTGACTTCAGTTACGCGTAGCTGTAGTAACCAATTTACCTTGACTTTTGAGTGACTATCAGTAACCCTAGCGCACATTTCGGGTTGATGTGAGCAAGTCAAGAAAGGCAGAGCGAGAGCACAATTTAAAATGTTTGAAGATTGGCTATCAATTGGACCTTCCAGAAAGTCGTAAGGAGCTTATTTATGGGGTCGCAGACATCGCCGGCAGTGTGTATCTACCTTCTCCTCCTGCCAGCAATTTTCTCTTCCATCAACCTTTTGTCCCAATTGTCTTCAGGGCTTGTCGGTTCAAAACTGCCCTTTTTGCGGTTAACTTCCTACAACAACCGGTAGTTTATGTTTCATCAATTCTTTCTTACGTGAAAGAAGGACTTTTGTATTCGTTTTGAGAGTTTTTGATTGCAGGACGATCAGTGCTGAATGGCCCTGCTAATTGCCCGATTATTACAGAAATCTCCAAGATTTTGTCAGAAACTAAACGGGCTAGATTCTCTCTCTTCACTGCTACATACTTCTTCATTTACTCCTAGCTCTCCTCTGTCTAATCACCTATTATCTAGTAGTTCGTGTTTTACTTCTCTTTTGGCTCTACAACACACAAAAATTACTGATTTCATCTTGGTATACCTCAAAACGCTTAATGTGATATTTCATGCCGTAGTTACTGGCGTCTCAGCACGTGGGCGACCGCCTGCTCTCCATCAACGGGGTCAATGAGGCGAGTCTGCAGCGCGAAGAGTTCACTCGTCTGGTCAAGGCCAGTGGTTCCCAATTTGCCCGCACCGTCCTCCCCTGCAACACCTGTAAGTGCCTCTCACCAAACGTGAAGTCGATACATCGGTTGTATGTTTACTGTTTTCTTTGCGTATTGCAGCATTGACTCCGTCCTCCGAACAGATGCAGTTCTACAACAGCCAGCTTCACCACCACCAGCAACAACAACTGCATCAACAAGAGAAAGCGCGAGCAGTTTTCTTTCAGGTCACCCTCTTTTACTCCAGTTGCGGGTTCGGATTAACTATCCGCGGAGGTCACGAGTTCAACCAGATGCCTTTCACTATCTTTCAAGTGGCTGAGGGCGGACCTGCTCATCTCGACGGTCGACTCAAGGTACTCACACACACACACACACACTGGGCGCGTGTGAGTCACAGATTCCATTTGCTGACTAACACCTACATTTACCCCTCGTACACACGCTTCGAAAGAGTGCCGTTGAGATATGGATGCCTGATACTTCATTACAGGGGATATGGTAGAACCTGATTGGAGGAGGTTAAGACTCGAGATTAGAGTAAAAACTGCGCAAATGTAACGTATGCTTGTACGCACATTGAGCTACTACTATTACTGATCAAATACTCTGCTATCGTTGTAAAAAGAGGATAGGAAATAATACTCTTATGAAATGTAAGCTTTTGAAATTGGGAGCTTGGGGCTAAAGGGCTTGAAGATCGCAACCCAAAAAGTTGTTCATTTTTAATCACTAGCACGGCGGAAACACCGCTACCGCAGGCAAAATGCGTCAACTTTTTTGACCAACTGCCTTCACATCAGTGCTTTTTAAAATGCCGATGTCTCTGGTCAGCTTTATTTTAAATAACAAAATCGGGGCTCTTACTTTATTTTGTCGAATGCTGGGTAGTGTTTCCCCTCTAAATTGCTGGTATTTGGTGTCATGAGTCACCATTCCTTCAATTGAGTCGTGAAAGCAGTGCTGTTTTACTTTTGCCAGCAGGATATGATTTGGGCATCATTTTGTACTTGCTACGCCTGTGATGTTTAATTCCGTTGTTCACCAATCTGCTTAGAAACTTGTTTGCGAGTGCACAACTGTAGTTCAAGCTTGCAGCATTAACTTGTGTCACTCCCCGTTCCCAAAGCTTTTGCGTTTAAGTATCTCATTGTTCTCGTTTTCAACAATGAGTTGTAGGTTACTTAATTCTATTCAGTTTTTACTGCCCCCTTTTTGTCAATCTTGCGCTCATGTTGCTGCTGGTATTGCAGCGATGCCTTATTCCAACTATTTCTTGTCCAAACATTTAGGCGGTGCTTCAGAGAATTGAAGAATGTTAAGCAACCCGTTTCACATGGTTGTGTTAAGGTATACGGATGGTGTTGATGTTTAGGCAATCGAGGTTTCAATTTCCTCTTATCATAAATGCTACCCTCTGCTGCTTCCTTCCTTCGGTGGATTAAAGGCCTTTACTGGTCATGCTTTTGTATTCAGAAATGGGTTTGCAACAATATACAGTTTAAAGTTCAGTTTTCATCTTCCTCAGCCCCCAGTTCGTCACATTTTTGCCGTGAGTTTAGTTAGGTTAATGCCGAGTAATCTTTGACTGAATTCAAACCTAAAATTTTGAGAATTTTATTTTAACGCCTCGACTATTTCCCAAAGATGTAATACATGATGTATTGATGATGTATATTGAATAATCCACTGGAAGCTTTGTTATCTGCCCCTCTGCCTCTATTATCGACGTTTTCGGTACTTCCTTTGTCTGTTCCGGTTATGAAGACAGTTGGTAAAGGTCAAACCGCAGCAGATGTCGAGGAAAGTAAACCACGTCCAGCAGTCTCTTGGGTAA